GCCCTGCCGCCCGCCGACGAAGAGGCGCAGGGCCTGCGGTTCAACCGGGGCGACCCGGACATCGTCAAGTCCCCCAGCGACCCGAAGCGGTACAGGTGCTCAGCGGGCACAGCCCGAGCCCTTTCCCTGCCTCACGCCTAACGGTCGTGTTTTCTCTGCGGTACTCCGAGCTCGGCCAAAGTGTTATAGAAAGAAATCATAAAAGTTCTGAGTACTGCATACTCTTTTCCATAATTTTGATGGCAATAGCTTAGATTCCATTTCTGAAATACGTCCAGTGCATGAATCAAGATGCACACCTAGATTAAAATACTGGCTTGAGGTGTAAAAGATGCAGGTTCTTTTTTATTGTCTGTATTTACTGCTATTTGTAGTGCAAATACTTTTGCAGTAGTTAAGAAATTGCAGAGCAAAATTAAACCCTCCTGCACTCTTCATCATGGTTTCTACAGATTAGTGAGGAGCTCAGAAATTATTCACAGGGTGCTATATTATTTCCTTATCTTTTTAGGCTCAGCAGTGATGTCTCTAAAAGTTTCATTGGTTGCACTGCACTGCAATAGTATTGAAAATGGGTTTTACATTGATGAACTTGAGTTGATCTCATGTGGCGGTTGCTGCAGCACTTCCCAGGTGTAGGCAGTTACTGTGGGGATATTGAAGCTGACTCTGCTTACAGTGAGATTAAGTCAGGCAATATTTATCTTTTTTAACTGTGTAAAAAAAATGACTGACATGCTTCCAGATTTAAGCTGTATGTGGAAATAACATAATATTTGGCATGGTGTTGTTTGAATAATCAAATAAAACCTTTGACCTCAATTAATTCTATGTAGGCACAAGCCCAGGGTGTCCATGTCTGGATCATGTACATCCATACACTGACTAAGGCACCTTTGATAGGTCAGATTTGGCTGCTGTTTTTGTTTTTCAGGAGTCTTGTATGTCTTTGGTTTATCTTCTTAGCTATGTAGGAGCTGAAAGCTTTCATTAGCATAGTCAAAAAATGTTGGGGTTTTTGATTTGTTTTCATAGAAATTATTCTTTCGGAAAAATAAGAGTTTTTAAATGCAGATGCTTATGAACTGGGATTAAGTAGCTGGTTTGGATATTTTATAAGATTCATTGTGTTAAAATCATGGAGAGAAAAAAGTAGCTTTGTCTTGTTTAAGGGAAATTAATTTTGTTTGGACCTAAATAAACTAAATTTATTTTTTCTTTTGCCGTTAGTCGGGCACATAATATCAACACAAAAAGTGATAAGAAAAAAAAAAAGGATGGGGAGTGAAATACCTCACCTAAGGTTAATGCTTGAACTGCTAATGGATTCCCAGTGTAATTCACTGCATAGCTGTGGGAGAGGTTGCTTCCCTATTGCCTGGGTTACACTACTTTTCTAACCTTCTATTTTGAGGGGACCTAAAGGACATTTTCCTTATTAGCCTAGGGAAATTTATTTATGAGTCAAGATTAATAACTAAGTATGTGCAACTCAGCTAAATGATGAAATGTGTCACTTTTCCATAAATTTAATGTAGCGATCTTGACAATTTGTATCTGTTGTTGTCTTATCATATGATTCGTAATCTTAATGAAAAAAATGAAAACAAGGACCATGCAATCTGACAGTAAATTTTTCTGCTCTCAAGTTATCTTTCCTTCTTAGCAGATTTAGTGACATTGCTGGGGAAGATAGCGCAGAACGGTTATACTGTGCATTTACTTTGATGATTTAGATGTTTTAAGGACAATTTACATTGTTCATATAATTGATTTCATAGGTATATCAAATTGCAAAATGGTTTGCATGCATTACTCATTTCCGATCTAAATAATATGGAGGAAGAATCCTCAGAAGAAGAGGACAGTACCGAGTCTGAGACTGAAAGTGATGATGACAGTGACTCAGGAGCAGACATGGAAGATGATGAGGAAAGTTGTCATACGGTTGATAAGGATAATGCTGAGGAGGACCACAGTGATTCTGATATGGAAATTGAAGAGTTAGCAGGGAAAAAAGAGTCAGAAGCAGAACCAACTGAGAAAGAAGATTCAGAGGCTGAACAAACAGAAGAAGACGAGGAAATTGAAAGTACAGAGAAACTGGTAAGAAACTCATTAATATTAAAGATTTAACACTTTTGAAGCAATGATTCTTTTCCCTAGCTGAATCATCTATTCCAGATTTCTCTTTGTCATTGTACTATTTTTCTTTTGCAATTCTTTGCCCATCTTCCTTGCCCAGCTATGTGCTCCTACTGGTGAAGTTTCTAGATTCATTCTTTGCTGGGTGATTTTTTTGGCATGACAACAGAATTGGCATTTTTTTTTCCCTTTGTTTCTGGGTGAATTTCAGTTATTTCCTTGGGGTGGTTGCATTTGATCAATTGATATTGATTACCAGAAAAAATAATATTGCTTTTCTTGCAAGTTTTTGCAACAATGCATGATGTGTTATTTTGCAGTCTGCTGCTGCTCTGTGTGTTGGAGTTGGCAGTTTTTGTGACCCTGAAGATTTGCCTGGGTTAGCACACTTTCTCGAACACAGTATGTATCATTTTCCCTGTAGAAACCCCATTTTTACAGCAGTTCAAAGTAAGGTATACAACAGAGGGATATGGGACTGAGACATACTCATAATGTTTAAAATATATTTCTAATCCAGCTTTTCATTTCAGTGGTATTTATGGGCAGTTTAAAGTATCCGGATGAGAATGGGTTTGATGTGTTCCTGAGGAAGCATGGTGGCAGTGACAATGCTTCAACTGACTGTGAACGAACAGTCTTCCATTTTGATATTCAGCAACAATACTTCAAAGAAGCGCTTGATAGGTAACTTGATCACATCAAATAAAGCATTGCTTAGATTAAAATACACTATGACAGTGCATCTTTTTTTTTTTTGAAAAAATATAGTTTAGACATTTCTCTTTCCTTATTTGGTCAGATTGAAGGGTTTATTTTCTTTCTGGCTTCTTTTACTGTATTTTAGCTGTACCTACACTTAAGCAAAAGACACTGCGTGTGTGAAAGAAAAGTAATGTTTCTTTGGTTATCTTGCTATCCTTTGAAGCAGGAGTTGTGACCTACAGGATTATATTTTATTTTGCAGTTAATCTTAGGAGGTTTCAATTTGTGTAGATCCAGGTAAAGCTTTGACAGTTTTTGGCCGTACTGGGGGTGGGTCTGGTGAGGAGGGAAATGTATCTTTAGTTTAAATAAAACGGTATTTTTATGGATTTGTCTGTTGCATGATTAGGTCTTCTGATATTAAAGCTTTATCTGTTGTTCAAGCACAATTACCATTGCCAATATCTCTCTCATGTTGGAAGTGGTGTTTCTTTCCATTAGACAGTAGGAAACAATTACCATTTTTCTTTTTGCTTTAGATGGGCACAGTTTTTCATTCACCCCTTAATGATCAGGGATGCAATTGACCGTGAAATTGAAGCTATTGACAGTGGTAAGAGTAACCTAAGCGTCCGTAAACTTTTCTTGAGCTTCTCAGCCTGAAGTCTTGAGCATAGCATTTAACCAGCATGCTCTCATATTCAATGCTATGAACTCTCGTCATGTATGTTTATCATTTATTTTTAGAACTTCAAAAGTAACTTGTTACATTTTGGATCAATGGCATTTTGTGACTTCCTTAACATTTGTTTGAACTTCCTTATGTGTACATACTTCTGTGTAAATGGCACTTAAAGTGTGTCATGAAAAATGATAGATTATTACCAATGTAGATCAGTAAAGATTGGTAGTAACGTTGCAGGGGGAGACAAGTTTCCTAACCGTAGCAGTAAATTGTGCAAGGAAATTAGAACGACGGTTAGTTTAAGGTAGGACAATCTTGCTTCACAGAAGCACCTCAAAAGTTATTAATGAAACAAGACAAAAATTCAGCAAACAGAAGCAATTTTAGGTTAAATATGTTTACTAAAGGAATTGGGAAGGTCTTTTATGATGTTTCACCAAATATGAAGAAAAGTTGCAGAGTGTCTTAAAGTAAAAGTTAAAATCACTTTTCTTCTTCATTTTACATTGAAATTAAGAATATTGAAAATTTTAAATCTATCCAGATTTGAATGGAAGATATGTTTGACTCCAGAATATTGGTGCAATTCACTGGTGTTCTGTGTATACAGTAAGAAACGCTTCAGTGTAGCTGTGTGTAGTGTGATCTTTGTTTGAATAGTAGTGACATTTTATAGGAATATTGCCTATAAACAAATGACTTATCTACTCTTCTAATCCTTTAAAACTAACAGAGTACCAGCTAGCAAAGCCTTCTGATAAAAACAGACAAGAGCTACTACTAGGAAGCCTTGCCAAACCTGGATATCCAATGAGAAAATTTTTCTGGGGTAAGTTCTGTCTAAAATGACTGGAGCAGTTATGTCTTTCCAGCTGGACTTATTAGTTTGGGCTATTGAAAGGTCTTCAAATCTCTCCAACTACAATACAACCCCCATCCGTCTTCCTATCACTAATGTTAACTTTCTGATACATTTTTGAG